TTTTCGGAAGTGCCTTGATATTCAGGGGGATAGGCACGCAGGGTGGGAGGACATCTTTTCAACAGTCCTCGCTTCGTCGGCGATCCTCCCGTCAGGCAACAGGATCGAAGACCTAGAGCTCTCTGCTGGATTGATGCAGTGTTTCACTGCCCAGTCAATGTCGACTGACTCCCTCACTGGTGTGCCATGGGCTAAGGAGCTTCGTCACTTGTCCGAGCTTGGGCAAGAATCGCTCTGGGACTTGAAGCTGCCCACTGAGTACGTTCCTGGAACACCAAGGCCGGCGGTAGACGTCGTGCCCACAATTTATGTGGTGACTTCAGATTCGACGCTGGCGCTGATTACTGGAAAGGGTAAGACTTTGAAGAAGTACACCCTGAAGGAGGACCTTGCCTTGAGGAAAGCTGACATGATTACATGATTCTTGAAATAGGTCATGACATGCTCTGGGGTAAGGATTTGCAACAACTCTGCAAAGCCAATATCGCGATGACCAAGGATTTGATGTCGAAGTTTTCCACTCATAGGTCAGCTATTCGTATCATTTCTGTGACCTTTTGGTCTGGTAACGAGGTTTGCGGGGAATATGGAGTTGAACCCCTTCCAATTTGGGGGCAACGGGAACCTCAAGGTGACTGGAAAGCCATCATGAACAGGGTCCAGGGCAACATTGTGTGGTGGAACAATGTCAACTGAAGGAGTTGGGGGTTGATCAGGCCGCTCTAATCAGCGAGCCCGACCCTCTTACCTATGGTTTGGGACTGGTGTTCACCACATTTATGGATCGCCTGAAGGCCTGGTTCCACACGGAGATTGCGGAGGACAACGAACGCATTAGGTGGATCCAGAATGACAAGCTTCCACCAAGGCTTGAGCTCATGGACTATTTTCACGCCTTCGAGACGGAGCTCAACAGGAACGAAATGATTGGCCATGTCATGGCCACTCTTCACATGCTGCATATAACTGATATCATTTCACCTCAGTACCAGCAGTCAATGTTCAAGAGGCGACGGCCACAGGGAGAAGCCACAATGCGTGATGTTGCACCGAGAATGGAGCATCTTCCGGTCAAGTTTGTGCAACTTTTGACATCGCTGCGAGAGAAAACCAACAGGTCAATGCCCAGCATGTCCTTGCCGGAAACCTTGACTGCAGAAGAGCTGCGCGACCGACCCACCGATGCAGGGGTGCCTGATGATGACGAAGAGGAGGGTGACCCTTGGGATGCACTGGATATGAATGAATACGAAGGTCCATCGGTGGGAAAGGCCAAAGCCAGCCATGCCGCTCCTCCAGATCCCTAGACTCTGCAAAGGCTCCACCCACAGAGCAGGACTCACCGACGGCCGCCTCAACTGGCGAGCCCACCAAGGAGAATGAGCTCAGAGGCACGGTCTGTCCAAAGCATGCCAAAGGCCATGTAGCAAAGTACAGAATCATGCTCGATGAGAACATCAACTCTGAGGTGGCTGAGCACTGCGTGGTAGATGGTCATTCGTTTGAACTTACTACCAAGACATGCTGGGAAATGGACGGCGCAGAGAACTTGAGGTATCCTGACCGCATGGACCGTCACAAGACGAAGGTCAACGCTGTGATCCGTGGTCAGCCAGGTCAAGACGCCACAGCCTTCACTGACCAAATGTGGCTTGACCTAGATGATTTCTTTCGAATGTTCAACAAGATGCTTCCCGAAAGGGTGAACCCCATGTCAGTTGAGGAGTTGATCGCACTACTCTATCATGACAGCAAATGCCGCTTTGAATTCCAATGCATCGCTGGCCACCAGAAGGCAACCCGTAAAGGGTTAGCCTACTGGCCTTTCAGGATCCGTGCAGTGCAGGGACATACAAAGCGTGCAATGGACACAGCTGCAGCATCTGATGCCTTCAACGCTGTCAAGATCTATGCAAGTTCAGGTGCAGCCGCCTTTCAAAGGATGAATGCAAAGGGCAAAAAGATCACGACTGCTGAAAAGTGTCCTGGGGTGATTTACCATCGCACCACAAAGGGAAATTGGAAAGGAATCCTTCGTGATGGTTTCGTTGCCGGTGGTGGGGAGCGCATTCTTACTTCAGCGAGGTGCAGGTCAGTGACAACCTGGACATGCCAATCTGGAGGAAAGGTGTTTTAAAAACGCCTAAGGTGTTTCTCATGCACAAGAAACGTCCGAGGGTGTTTCTTAGTCCAAACATGCGCCCACTGGTGTTTCTGTGTTGTGAGAAACGCCAGAAGCGCAAATTGGCCGGTGCCTGGCCATCTTCGAATGAACCAACTATAGCATTTTATTTTGGTGATTTTGTTTCGGTGCATGGTTAAGCTCATAATTGTTGCGGAATGGGTTTGGGCTGGCGTTGTGTTTTTTTGTTGCTATTTGCACCACATTGTGATCGCATCTACTTATTTCAGAAAAAGCACCATGACGTTTGACGACATGTCCATTCAACAGCGTCATCGCACCCTTTTTTAAACACGTGACATGTAAACAGGGTCATCGCACCCTTTTCAGACATATATGCATGTCATGAAACAAGTTGCCTAGGATCCGCAGGTTGCTCGAACATAGATGAACATAGTTGGCTGGATGTTTCTGTTTTTTCTCAAGGGCACCTTACAGTCACATATATTTTGTGATATAACACACACATATAGGGAGTGAGAGCTATATTATCGGAGCGGCGAGCGAGCTAGCTATCTAATCTATAAGCTAGCGATCTAATCTAGCGAGCGAGTCTAAGTTATCTCTATCGATCTAATCGTATAAAATCTTATCTATCGATCTATATCTATCATCTATCTATCTATCTATCTATCTATCTAGATCTATCTATCTATCTATCTATCTATCTATCTATCTATCTATCTATCTATCTATCTATCTATCTATCTATCTATCTATCTTATCTATCTATCTATCTATCTATCTATCTACTCTGACCTAAAAGTAGATGGCTCAGAATCTTGACTTGCGCCATCTATGTCAAAAAAAAATGGGGGATAGATGGCTCAACTCCCTTTAAAACAGGGCAGTTGAGCCATCTATGTCCCTAAAAATGACATATGTTTTGCAATCTTCTGCGCTGGTTTCTCCCCATTGTTTTTCTCAACATCAAGCTGCTTTTTTGGGACATAGATGGCGCAACTCCCGGGGTTGCGCCATCTATGTGGGCATTCCCAGCCTGATTTTGGCGAAATGACGGAAGTTGTTTTGAGCCAGCAAAGGTCGAGACGCTTTAAAACCCAATTTTAACAAGTGACCTGAGGAACCGTTTTTGCCGTCATCAAGAAACGGTTCCTCAGGTCACTTGTTAAAATTTGGTTTTAAAGCGTCTCGACCTTTGCTGGCAAAATGACGGCGCCATCGATGTCCCAAAAAGGGACAACTCTGATGTCTTTCCTGGTGGTTTTGCCTCCTGTCTTGGGATAACTCTGATGTCTTTCCTGGTGGTTTTGCCTCCTGTCTTGGGATAACTCTGATCGATGTGGCATATTCTGGTTAGGTTGGTTGATGGATGTCGGGAGATATGAGGGAGTTGCGCCATCTACTGTATGTGGGCATGTGCAGCCTGATTTTGGCGAATGAGTGGGAGTTGCGCCATCTATGTCCCAAAAAGGCAGCTTGATGTTGAGAAAAAAATATGGGGAGAAACCAGCGCAGTGCCAATTTTCCACTTGGGTTCGCCCCGGAAAACGGACCCCACCAAGTGTCAAGTTTCCTTTGGGAAACTCAGGAAAAGCTCTTTTTCGGGGGACTTGGTGGGGTCCGTTTTCCGGGGCCAAGCAAAGTGGCAAATTGACAGAGCGCAGAGGATTGCAAAAAATAGGTCATTTTTAGGGACATAGATGGCGCAACTCCCACTCATTCGCCAAAATCAGGCTGCAAATGCCCACATAGATGGCGCAACTCCCTCATATCTCCCGACATCCATCAACCAACCTAACCAAAATATGCATCTCCTTTCCTGAAGCAGAAATATGCCCCCAAAATCGTGCCTGTTTCCAAACAATTCCAAACCACATAGATGGAGCAAGTCAGGCAAGGGCTTGATGATGATGACAAAAGCACTGCCAACCCCTCTCAGCCTGCTGAACTGCCATTTTTGAACCCACCGAAAAATAATTTTCTGGCGTTTGAATGGGATTTAAGGGACATAGATGGCGCAACTCATTTTCAAGGTATGGCAATGAATTTTTAAAAGTGTTTTTCCAATACATGTTTGTCAAAATATGTTGAACAATGAAATTTGTATCCATCAATTCTGTCCACAATCAGTTTTAAAACCTTCAGTGGTTCATTTTTAAGGCGTGGCACTGAAATTTCGAAAGATTTGAATGCGATTTAAGGGACGTAGATGGCGCAATTCATTTTTGAATTCACCGAAAAAATGATTCTGGCGTTTGAATGGGATTTAAGGGACATAGATGGCGCAACTCATTTTATACAATACAAATGCCAAATTTGCGCAATTTCACCGTATATACAAGCAAAACCAATAGGAAATGTAGTAAACTTAGTTAACAATACCCTTATGTCCATCTACTGGAGTGGCAGTTGCGCCATCTACCTTTTCATTTTAAAGTAGGGTGATTTTTTCTTCAATTGGCGGACCTCGTTTTATGTTCCAGCTAAAATAGCGCCGTTTTCTTTCTCAGCACGCGGTGCCATCTTATGGGTATTTTGGTTTTTGAGTTGAGCCATCTACTTTTAGGTCAGTGTATCTATCTATCTATCTATCTATCGATCGATCTATCTATCTATCTATCTATCTATCGGTTCATGCATTGTACAGCAGAATTTTGCATTTTTGTATAGACAGAGATCTGATGTCGCTGCCTGCTGGCACTGTGTCCAAGTCAGGCAGGCCGGGGCAGCTGCTAAGACGTGGCATGCCTGGGCGAATTTCATTGTGTTTTGCCAAATTTGCATTTGAAGATTCAATGTGTGGTTTGTGACTGCAGACATTTTAGATATGAAATTTTGATTTGCTTAAGGCCAAATGGGGCCAAAAAAATTACCCAAGGCCATGCCGCGAAATTCGGCCTCCTCGGCCTCCAGCGCGCCGAAGCCTGCAGACCAATCAGTTTGGGAGCGCGTGGGCATTCCTAAGCCGCCTGAGCCCCTCGTGCCTCCACCACATGTGGCAAGTCACAATGATTCTTGTCTGATTTTCCTATTTTTATTCCAGACATGGTTGAATCCCTGCGGGGTGTGCTGCATGGAAGGGGCTGAAAAGTTGAAACATCACATTATATGGCAGCTTGTGTGATTAATTACGAGGACTATGGTGCAAATGCATATGGGCATTGGGGAGATGATGGGTGGTATGGAGCTTCGATGGAACAGGACTGGGTCGCATATGCTGTTCACACATTTTTTTCAAATGAAATTCCTTGATCAGTGCAAGCGGTTAGATTTCCTATTGTTCAATCGCCTTTTGCAGGCTATGCATGCTGCTGCGGTAATGCAACACCAATGGCATGCCGCTCACCAGGCCCAGCGAAAGGCGCAAAACGCTGCGAAAGCTGCAAAGCAAGCGCTGGCGAGTTTCCAGAAACTACAGCAGGACAGATGTTGTTTTATTTCCCTGGCATGTACTACCCCCATTGACTGCACGCTGGCTTAACTTATGTTTTTTTGGCAGTGAACCCTGTGCCGCAGGACATGGCGACTGCTGGAAACACCCAGGCGGCAAATTTCTTGATGCGGCAGAAGATGACCGGCAAGGCGCTCATTGGGGGACTGCATTCAGCCATTCCAGTCACTCAAGCCCCTGATGATGGCGAAGAGTTTTATGAAACCACAACCGTTCAACCGGAGCCTGTCGCTCGCGAACATGGCGTTCATGTCGCAGACATGGATGATTATCAACACACCTTGCAACTCGAGGGGGATGGCTTCGAAGTTGATGATGATGGCAACCTTTATGAAGAGCCAGATCACGAGCATGACCATGGAGACATGCAGCAGCTTGATGACAAGACGATTTTCCCAGATGACCAGCCCGATGAAGTTGAATGGGACCATGAGGCGCAGACATTGCATCAAGATGATGAGACTGTTTTGCAGGAAGAAAACGAAGACACGCAGACAGAGATTCCTTTGGATGACCAGACAGTTTTCCAGGATGATGAACTTCAAGGTCATCATTTTGATGACGGTGATGATGAAAAGCGCGTGCAGTTGCCTGGCATTGACGTGCCAAGTGGCGCGCGTAAGAAGCGTCGCACAGCCTGAATCTAGGCGTCCGTGATTCAAGTTCATGGCTTTTGTCGATGGATCGAGCTCAATGAAAAAACTGCGCGGCTTCATGAAGCTGTGATCTTGTCAGACCAGGTCAAAAGATGCTCGATTGTGTTGGGAGGACAAGATTTCAAAAGTTCTTGAAAGGGGTTGTGGCTGCTGCTTATGCTGCCAGGCTGCCCATGGTGTATCAGTGCAGCTCCTATTGTTTTGAACCTCTTCCACTTTGCATTGAACAACTTGAGTTTGCAATGTTAGTGTGGCATGGTGTGTTTTCGGTTTGTGCGTCTTAAGGCCATAACGTTTGAATGTCAAAGAGACGCAAGGTGCTGACACAAGGACTGAACTGACTTAAGGACATTTGCCCTGCATGGTACGTAGGGATGGTGTGCGCATGAGTTGGTGACTGTGCAACATTGTTTTTGCATTCAGTGTAGTTTTTGCTTAAGTGTGCCTTGGGTTGGCCACTACACATGCCATGGGCCGATCGAAAGGGATCGTTGAAGTTCACTTGGAAGCGTCAGAAACTGCAGAGTTGGCAAAATGCATCAATGCATCAATGACAACATACCAGCCGAACACAAGGGAGTTGTAAGCGTGGATGCTACAAAACTGTTTGCAGCTTTCTCCATCAACAGTGCCTTGCTACAATTGATTTTGCCTTGCAACCGTTTGCAGCGGATGTTTTCATGACATGAGTCATGCATGACATGGAAATAGCCCCGAAACATGGTCATCGCACACTTTTACTGGGATATTGAACATGACCATCATGACAAAAAAATCATGATTCATGACCATGTGAATGTAATTCCTCAGTCATTGCATTATATACAAATATATCCGAATATATCTATTCACATGTCCAACCAAAAGGACATTTCAGGCACCATGGTTTCTTGAGACGATTGGCGACACCAAGGCAAGAATCTGTCGAAGGATTCCCCATCAATGACTATAGCTGGGTTCTTCAGCCACTTGCGAAGGTGGTGCCAGCGCAGCCGATTCACCAAAACAGTTTGTTCGAGATCATTGAAAAGGTTCTACCAGATTCACCAGAAGGTGTAATTTGGTTGGCTGTGTTTGATTTGAAGGTACTGATGCAGTTTCTTGGTGCTTGCATGTTTCAGCCTGCGGACCGAAAACCGTTCCCGTAAAACGCACGTTTTTGAATATCGCGATTGTGGGGTGGAGTGGGGTGGGGTGGGGGGCATGTTAACGTTCCTTGTACTTCGTACATGATATATTGCCATGCTGCTGAGATCTCTGGGATCGTTTACTACGTTACATGTGCTGATGGGGTGGGGTGGGGTGGGGTGGGGGGTCATGATCACGTTCCTTGTACTTCGTGCATGATATATTGCCATGCTGCTGAGATCTCTGGGATTGTTTACTACGTTACATGCTGCTACGCTGCTGAGATCTCTGGGATTGTTTACTACGTTACATGCTGCTACGCTGCTGAGATCTCTGGGATGGTTTACTACGTTACATGTTCTATGTGGAATCTGATGAAAAAGTCAAGTCCCGGCAACTTGAGTGCCAAAAGTGACCTCTTGATGATGTATGCTAGAGCTTGGCAATGGAGATGCATTCACAAGAATGCTGACTGCCAGCTGATAACGGTGCATGCGTTGCAGCGATGACGCTGAAAAGCCAAAAAACGCGCCCCAAGTTTTTCCAGGATTTCCAATCATGAAATCAGCACGGCACTTGTTGGTAAAATCACCATTAAAAAAAAAACCGTGCGTTTTATGGGAACGGTTTCCGGTCCGGCGGGATGTTTCACAAACAGTTTTTGGTTTCATTGTTTTGATGTGTGACAATTTTGCGTTGAACATGCATCGACCGGCGTTTGAGGTTTGCCAGAAAAGTGTGGCGGAAGGCTCGACCACAGACTGCGGATGCAGATTGGCCAATTTGGGTCAAAGAGCAGGAAAAGGTCCTTCAACTTTTTCAGACAATGCAACGGTTTGATGATGATGATGATGAACATGATGCCGGAAAAGCTTGGGGAATAGATGAAGCTTACTGGCAAACAAATGTGTTTCAAACTTGTGTGCCCTAGTCCCCTTTTGGATCGCGATGCAAGGCTTTTTTCATCTAATTAAGGACAAGGATGTCGAAGCATCCCTTCCCATCGCCGGGACTTCTGAGGACTTCTTCGTGCAGCTCAAACTGATTCATGGTCATTAAAATACCTCTCTCTCTCTATATATATATATATATATACATACATACATACATATCACAAAATTGTCAGACATGGCTCGAGGAGAAAGAAAAGACACCACACGAAATGCGGACACAGATCTTGAAAGATCTCCAAGGGAAAGTGGTGGAGATTTTAGATGATCCCCCAAGCTTTTCGCCAGCACTTAGCGCGGTGAGCATTTGCTTGACATTCCTAAGGCGTTGCATTCAATTGCTGAGGCAGTGCAGTGGGCAGTGAGCACAAGCCGCCAGAGTCTGCTGTGCAGTCCTCAGCCCCATTCCATTTTTTCTCCTGATGATTCCTCATTATTAAACTGTTATATAGGTTGGCCCTCGCCCTCCAGTTTCCAAAACCGTGAGAAGCCCTGCCATCAACCCAGAGCCGAAATTTGTGGAGGACTGCAATTGGCAATGTTTTGTGCATTGGCACGGTTCAATCGTGACATGTGATTTTCTTCCGTTTTGAATCGAGACACGCAAGGAGGTACTTGCAGCGGTAGAAGGTGATGTGGGAGCTGCAGACCCGGCATGAACTGGGCTCAGCCTGCCGTTCTTTTTTGCCATTGCAAGACAGGGCATCAATGTGATAGCAGTCTTGCATGCAGCGCATCATATTTACAATGCATAATGCCAGTGGTTAAGGTCAAAGAGCCTTGCAGAAAGAGTTGAAGCCTGCCACTGCCAAAGGTAAAGCTAAGGGAAAGGCAGGTCCAAAGGCGTCAGTGAAGGCTAAAGCTGCACCAAAGGCTGCTGCAAGTGCTGGATCTCGAGCACCACCAGATGTGGCTGCAGATGTTGATCGGACATATTCTTTGAGGAGACACAAGAGAAAGACATCACATGGAGAGCTTCGAACTTTTGCCATCAATTGCATTGAGACCGGAAAGCAGCTGGCCCAGCTGTCTGAAGCTGCGTGTCAAGACGCTGAAAGCGTAGTGGGAATTTAATTTCGCAGCTCCATGACAAATCTTTGAGCCTCGCAGACGCAATGGCCCGATTGGGTGAGACCAAGGGGTCGTGAAGATGGCGTGCAGACCAGCGGCAGTGACCACACGGAAAAGATCTTCTGCAAAAGAACTATGCAATACGAAGCCGTGAGCATTGCATCACATAGAGTTGTTTTTTTCGAAAACTTATCTTAATGCAATGGAGGACGACAGATAGCTGTGTCATCATTGGGGCCAAGCGCGGTTGAGTCAGGACTTTTGCTTTGTGAACTTTCAGGCTGAAAAAAAAGCCCGACAAGGGCGTGACCAAACCGTGACCGGGCCGTGACCGAAAGAAACGCCCAATTCATTCTAGGAAAGCGCGAGCTGTGACCAGACCGTGACTTCCGTGACCTCCGTCATGCAGGGTCTGACCAAAATTTTTACCGAGCTTTTTCAATGTTGCATTCTTGCAGAAGATCAATTTTGTTTTGGGTTATGTCCAACAGGATGTCAGGGGCTCAACTCACAAGCTAGGTTTGTAGACTTCGGATATGGCAGTGAAACCCGACAGACCCTTACCTGGTCGGGGTGGCTCGGTGCGTTGAAGTGGCCATGGCGCACACACAGCCAGGCCGGTTTTGTTTGACATGATAGAGTTTATACCTATTTTGGTCAGTTGCTTGTGTGCTTTGTGAGCTTTGCAAATATAAAAACGTTTTTGTGTTGTTGGATTTCACATGATCGTGAGGTGATGTTCAACCTCGTCAATGCGCCGCGCCAGAAGTTGAGATGACTGTTGATGGGCCAGGAGCATTTTTAATTGCAAACAGAACGCGCGTTATTTCCATTTGATGCACCCTTCAATGCATGCCAAGACAAAACATGACAAAACCACACTGGGAAACTGTGAGCTGATTCATTATGATTCTCGGTTGCCCGCTTAGGCTCCATGTGAACTTGTCCCGTCCACTGCAGCCAATGCAACTTGGGATACATTGGATTCTGCACCGACGGCCGGTGACACTCAGGTGCTTTGAAAACTAGAGTCAAGTTTGCCATGTTGACTTGATACAGATGCCGTGAATTTAAATTTGCAAGGGGATAAATACACGTGTGACAGGTGGAATCTCTCGACACCCAGGATGCGCTACAAGCGCAGCAGCAGGTGACTACAGTCAGGCCGAGCCAAGCTGCTGTGAGAATGACCTTGCCTGGGCCATCTTTGCCCTTGGATTCACACCCAGACAATGTGCATCGGTTTGTTGCTACTTATATGAGGTCACCAAAGGAGACGCCAGCGCAGAGTTCAGAATGTAATACCAAGCTGCCTGCCCAGACAGCCAGCACTGCGGCTCCTCCAGGTTGAGCCACGGCTTCAGTTCCACCAGAGCCCGCTGCTACAGGGCTAGCAGCACCCGTGAACTCAGAGGAAATGCAGAAGATGTTGCAAGAAATGGGGTGGATGAAGCCACCTGCCACTCCACAACAGTCTGCAGCTGCAGATGCTTCGCATGTTGCAAAGGCCAGCGAATCAGACCAAGCTTTGAGTGGAACAGCAATTCCGAAGAGCCCAGACCAAGGTTTGAATGGAGTTGCTGTGACCAATGGAGCAGACAAAGGTCCTTTGAACGGAGTTGCCACGACCAATGGAGAAGACAAAGGTTTGAAGACGACCAGCTCAGCAGACGGTCTGACTGGACCACCGGTTGGGACAAACCAAGGTTTGAACGGACCACCCGTTGCAAAGACCCCAGGGGCAGAGAATGATTCGAATGGACCATCAGTTGCAAAGACCACTGTGCCTGCAGACCAGCGTGTGAGCCCACCGGTCACTACGACCGTTGCAGTCCCAAGTGTGGCTGGGCATCCTGACAAGAACAAGCCTCTCAGGATTGCGCCGTTTCCTCATCAGCCGGCTGCAAGTGGCAGTGGTGAGGAAATGCCCCCTGCAGAGCCCCTGCAGAACGTCAAGGAAGAACCCAAATTGGACCAGAGGCAAACGTACTCAAGACGGGCGGCTGCCAATTTGATTCAGAGGTTGCGAGACAATCCCAAGAGAGTGGAGGGATATCCGGCTTTGAAAAAGGTGACCAGAGCTTGCTCATGAATGATGTAGCGATAGATGAGAGCGACCGCATTGTTTATCGCTCAAGTTGGAAAGGGGTTTCTCGTCTTCCCATGGAAAATCCCCTGCTGTGTGGGGTTGCTGGCGTGGCACTGGGATTTTGGTTTCGCGGCCTTCTGAACCAGCCAGTGGAAGTGGTGCATCAGCCGTGCAGCTGCCTGTGTCATTGCCACTGCGCAGCACCCTCTCAGCTTCCAGTTTTCGTGGGAATCCTCTTCCTGATTGTTGTAGTGGTGGTGACCGTGATTTATCTTGTGAAGCTTGCTCCAAAGGTTGTGGTTAGTGGATCTCCTACCCAAAAGGGTCACAAGGGACAATTTGGCCAACAAGGGAAGGTCCTGACAATCACGACTTAGAAATATGCAAGCTGGACAGGTTGCCTTGGTGAACTACGGAGAGCATCCTCCAGTTTGGCATGCTCGGTTGCTTCTGGGCTGGGTTCATGGTACGACATGGGTGATCTTGACTCCAGATTATCATGGATATCCTCAAGACTTGAGTTTGGCCAACCCTGACTATACCGATTTTGAGTTTCTGGGTGCGTCCACTCGTCCTCCTCCTAGGATTCCACCGGGTCAAGTGTATGGATTTGCACCCTTGGACCCTGGGACGTTGGCGAATCACATCCGTCAGGGCCAGGTAGAAGCAGACAATGAGAGGATTGCCTTGGGACTCCCTCCAGTTCCAGCACCTGTTGCTCCAGCAGCTCATGTGGGGGCACCTGTACCTGTACCAGCTCCTGTGGCGGGCGCAGCGCCTGCACCTGCAGCTGGGGTGGGGGCTGGGGCGGCGGTGGTTATCTATTGTTGGGTTGCCTTTGAGTCCAATGGAGGGAGAAAACGAGGAGACATCATTGTCGCTGAACCCACAGTTTTGCCCCATGGTCATGTAGTGTTGGGCGATCGTGCCATTGTTCCAGCATTACCGGGATCCTCAAGCGCATGTCTGGCCATTAGGGTACCCCAGGATGATGTTGCCCGGTACCAGTTAGAAGATCTCAGAGTTTTGCCTGTGAAGTTTGATGCTCAGGGCATCCGTAGGCGAGAATTCTCAGAGGCTGTTGCTTTGATGGTGGACACTCCGCCGCAGGGTGGTGGTCTTCAATTGGAGGGCCCAACATCGGTGCTCAATGTCTTGAAGAACATGCGTGATCAAGCCATGACACCAACAAGTTTCCATGAGTTTTGGTTGAGGAGTGCTGATATCCCGAAGGGAGATAGGTCCACCTATGAACACGAATGTCTCAGCAGGATCCTGGAGCCCTCATCTCAGTTGATCAGTTGAATGTGGCATCATTGCAAGGGGCCGAGCTCATCAACCGACGCCTCCAGGTCATTCGTGAGGCTCACCGAATTTCCCCTTCATCCCCTGATTACAGTGCAGCCGATTACTTCATGGGGTGGAAATATCGCAGAGGATTGCAAGGAGTTGACAATCAGTTGGCTCAGCATGTGGCGAACGAGATGAAAGCAGATGCTGCAATCATGAAAGAAGCCCGGAAAGCCAAGGAAGAAGCTCAAGCCCGCCGCCAGAAGCTCACTAAGGGTGGAGGCGGCGATCAAAAATGAGCCTTGAGTCAGCCCCCAGGCAAGCGGCTAGCGTGGGGGTGGGACACCTTGGAGCCGCAGAATTTTGTTCTTCAGGTCGAGGACTCAATCCCTCATTTGATCCCGACAAGTCGAGAGTCAGAGAGCTTTTTCCTCTTCCTGCTGTTGTTCCTCGCCCGCGCTGCCCAGGCCAATCTGTTTCGTCGCGAAGGAGAAGCCATGAGGTGCGGGTGAAAGAAGAGCAGATGAATTCGATTATTGGTTGCCTTAATGAAATGTACGCCCCCCAAGTAAAATCGAGTGCTGTTGAGTCGGGTGCGTCGGGTGCACAAAAGGTCAGCCAGCATAAGATTTTCAAAATGTTATCACGTTTAAAAAAGCATCATGAAACATGTACAGTGCGTGAAGCTGCACAAGAGCTTCTGCATACATCCGTCGACTATTCCAGTGACAGGCCTACAAGCACGGTTAGATCTTATGACCGAGACCTTGTCTCCCTGCCTCAAAGCGGGGATCAGCCTGTTGAGCTATTGGAGGTATTGGATGATGTTGGTCGAGAATATGTCAAAGATCCTCTCACTGCCATGATGATATCTGAGGAGGAACATGGGGAGTTGATTGAAAAAGGTGACACAGTGAGGCCATACATGGATGTCCGGCTGCAACGTGAACAGGACACCTATGAGCAGTTCATCTTGGACCTGTTCAAGAGCGGCATGCTGGAGTTTACGTGTAGACCTCAGGATTTAGTGACACCCTTCTTCGTGCACAAGAAGAACAATCGTCTCAGATTTATACTAGATTGTAGAATGGTCAACAAGAGATTCAAGAGACCACCGGGAATGGCACTTGCGGCGGGCTCAACGTGGAGTCAGGTGTCGGTGCCTCCTGGTGACAACTTGTTCATTGCCCAGAGCGACATTAAGGACTATTTCTATTCATTATCATTGCCCCTTGCGCTTAGGCCCTATTTTTGCTTGCCTTCAATTCGCTTTAGTTTGCTGCAGGAGTGGGGTGTTCCGGTTCATCTTCATCCACAAGGCATACAAGAAGGGTTGGTGTTTCCAATGCTGCGTGTCATTCCAATGGGTTGGTCGTGGGCAATGTGGATATCACAAAGAGTCCATCAAAACATCAGCCTTATTGCATCAGGCCTTGACTCCAGTCGGGTGGTGGTGGATCATCGAGCTCCTCCAGACTTGTCAGGCGGGGTTCCCATCATCATTCCTTATGCAGATAACCTGAACGTCGCAGGGACTGACCAACAAGCTGTACAAGACACAAAGGACAGGATTGTCAAAGTTTTGAGAGGCCATGGCTTCCGAGTGCATGAAGAGCTTGATGCTTCTGATTGCGCCCAGAGCTTGGGCTTTTTGATCGATGGTTCCAATGGCTTGGTCGCTCCTGTTCCTGAGAAACTGTTTAAGGTACAGCAAGCTTTCCGTTGGTTGGCTGGGAGGCCCAAAGTTAGGGGAAAAGAGGTGGAAAGGTTGTTGTGGCATGCCACTCATTTGATGATGCTTCGAAGGGAGCTGCTTTCAATCTTCCGCAGTCTGTACGACTTTGTGCAAGGCTCATATGAGAAGCGAAGCAGGCTTTGGCCTTCAGCCGTCAGAGAGGCTAGATGGGCTGGAGAGCTGTTAGCGCTTTGTTCAGTTGATCTGAGATCTGCGTCGACCATGGAGCCAAACATTGACTGCCTCCGATGCCAGCCTCTCAGGCGTTGCTGTGTGCTGGTCTGAGGGCTTAGCTCCCGATATAGATCGGATCGGCTCGCAGAAAGAGCCCTGGCGGTATCGGTTGAAAACTGACGTGCAGCCCCGTTCAAAAGCATTACAACATGGCGACCCTTTTCATGACCCTTCCACTGTAAAACCTATTGATGTCACTGAAGTTGATCCCTATGAACTTAACTATGAATTTGAAGAGGTGCCAGATGAGATTCTGGACTCCAACAAGTGGACAGATGCTTTTTCAGTTCGAATGCAGATGCCGGAGCATATCACTTTGTTGGAAGGCCGTGCAGTCGTGGGGTCTCTCAGACACAAGTTTAGGTCAGTTTCTGAATTTTCCAAAAAGCACCTTCACCTGAATGACAACATGTCTGTGTGTCTTATGTGCTCAAAGGGTAGGTCAGGGGCATACTCCATGTTGAGAGTCTGCAGAAGGATTTGTTGTCTGCTGTTAGCCACTGACAGCCTCCTCAGTGTTCGGTGGATCCCCTCTGAGAAGAACGTTGCTGACAGGGCTTCAAGGCGGTGGGAGCATTTGAGACGTTTTGATGCTTCTAGCCGATCTAAACAACAGACAAGGCTGCAGGAGGTCGAAGCGGCATGTTATCCAACCTGGCCCTTGCAATCAGGAGCTTCCGATCCTTGTGCCAGGCTCTTCAGTGAAGCAGGCCAGGTCCATGAGGGCACAGCCGATGCCAGACAAGCTGCTGAGGACCGTGAAGGAGAAGGTGAATTCGAGGAAAAGAAAGATCTCAGACAGGGACGATCCAGTGAGATTTGTAGGACAAACCAATTTGGAGAAGATGGCAGTATCTGCAGTGGTGGGTCGGGATTATTTCAAGAGAATGACGGATTTCAGAAGTTTTGTCAAGCTCAAGAAGTTGAAACTGGCCCCCCCCATGAGCAGATTAGACACGGCCTTTTGCTGGTATCTCAACAGTCTTTTCGAACAAGGTCTAGAATACGGCGAAGGCAGCAAGTGTCTAGCTGCAGTCATCGACAGTTTCCCAGGATGTGGCCCGCGGCATCAGCTCCCAAGATCGAGGAGAGCGCTGCAGGGTTGGCAAAAACAGGATCCTCAACGAACCAGACCCCCACTTCCATGGTCACTTGTGGCGTCCATGGTTATGTCTATGCTGGAAAGAAACATGGTTCATCATGCTGCCATGATCATGTTGATGTTCAGTGCTTATGTCCGACCGGGGGAAGCATACAATTTGCAGAAGGTAGACCTGGTGGCTCCTATGCCGGGTCATCAATGGTTTTCCCTTCATCTGCATCCAGCCGAACGACAAGAAACAAGCAAAGTAGGGCTATCAGACGAAAGCCTATTCCTGGATGCAACATACATACCATGGTTGGGAAAGGCTCTAGCAACGTTGGACAGTCCGGATCAGTTTCTGTTCAACGTTCAATACACCAGTCTGGTAAGTGTTTGGAAACAAGCCCTACTACACCTGGGGCTTCCCACCAGCCATGCCATTCTCTACCAGCTGCGCCACTCAGGTCCAAGTCACGACCGACTACATCGCCTGCGTTCAGCCTTGGCGGTCAAGCAGCGGGGAAGATGGATGGCAGACAGTTCAGTAATAAGGCACGAGACACATGCACGAGTTCATGCAGAGTTTCATCATCTTCCCAAAAAGGTTCAAAACAAGTGTCTTCTGGACGAGAAACGACTGGAGAAGGAGGGCCCAAGATTTTTCGGCCTCAAGGCGTAGCATGGAATGGTCGATACATTGTAGAGCTCTTTTCTGGTGTTCGCGTTTGTCCAAAGCATTTGCGCAACGTGGTTATGTCTCCATCGCATATGACATAGAGTTTGGGACTGGTTGTGACCTTCTGGATACTAGGGTATTGTCATCTATTCTTCGTTTCATGCGGAAGCACAGTGGCATTATCGATCTGATCTGGTTGGGCACGCCTTGCACTTCATGGTCTCGAGCTAGGAGATGGGATGGTGGACCTAGACCACTTAGGGATGATGATATTCACCTCATGGGTTTTCAAAATCTTCTTGAACATGATGCCAAAAAAGTTCATGAGGGCAATCAGTTTTTGTCGGTTTCATGCCAAGTCTTAAACTTGGCTACAGAGCTGGGAATCCGATGGGCGCTGGAGAATCCTTTGACCAGTCGCATTTGGTTGACTGCAAAGCTTAAGCGATTCATGACAATGGGCGCAAAGCTTTTTCATCTGGACTTGTGCGCTTTTGGAATGCCGTGGCGTAAATCCACTGGAATTTTAGCACTGCGTTTTGATTCTTTGGGCTCTGTAGTGATGACCTGCCACTCCTCTTCTGAGCGCTGTGAATTTTCTGGCAAGAGACATATCATTTTGTGTGGCAAAGATACTTGTAATCAATGGTGGACTCGGCGTGCTCAGCCTTATCCACCGCGCATGTGTCAGGCCATCGCCTCACTTTTTCCAGTTTAGTTCACTGTGGTGTGGAGGGGAGATTTGAACGGTTGCCTGAGAAAATCTTAGGCAAGATCCGAAATTCAGTGTTCCACCATGCTCTTTGAACCTCAAGACCTAGCTTGGTCACTTGCAAAAGATGGTCTTGGACTCTGGTCGTGGGAATCGGAAGCGATTGATCATGGTTTTCGATGCTGAGAAGAAGTCAGACCTGATCACAATGTTGTGTGATAGCAATGGAGCTCTGGAATCTGTCGGAGCATCCTTGTGCAAGCCTTTGAAGAGACTTGTGTTGGTGACTACCATCGCAAGAAAGCACTTCGTTGGACAAAGAAGGAGATGGAAGACCACTACGGCGGAGATGCAGAGGCGGTCATGAAGCACAAGATCCAGCAGGGCCTTGTGGAAGATGACGAGAATCTTCCAGGGGGTCAACTGATTGCCAGGAAGGAGGATGAACATGATTCAGGCACCCGGACTGGTACCTTGCCAATATTAGCAGCCTAGCATGCATGCAACCGCAACTGTGATTAGTTTTCTGTTGCAAGGTGCAATGATGTACAATCGTTTCAAACACCTTCCTTCATATGGCCATATTATGTCCAAATCAGGAACGTCATCACAGAGCTCATGACATTTACATGCTTGACCATGAACCATGGGGTCACCGCACCCTTTACCAGATAATTTAATATCCACAGACTTCATGATCAACAGACCGATTTCCCCACGCATGACTCATGACCATGTATGTTTTCTTAAACAGGGTCACCGTACCCTTCTTCAAAACATGTTGTTTCCTGTTTACTATGATACCAACATGCATGTCTTATTGTTTGCAGAACCATGTGCAAACCATGGCATTGAGGAACCCAAGTGACGACGAACAAGATGCGTGTGGACGAGAGCAATCCAAGTGCCGTGGCTTCCTTGATGCTTCTTAGTTTGCATTGAGTATGCAGTGCAAAAAACCCACCATGTTTGCATGTGGCCAAGCTGTGGCTGCGCGATGGCTGGTTTTGAGTTCGTGCTTTTCTTCATTGTTTTTTTGAACAAACAGTTTTACCTATAAGGTCAGCCCCAGCGAGTGTACCGGTGAAGAGCAAAACGTCAGATACCAGCAGCACGTCAGCTCCCTCCACCCCTGCGTCTGAGACATCTTCCGTGCCGGTTCCTGAAACACCTTGAGCTGAACCACCGGTCAAAAAACGTCGAGTTCCAAAGGCAGAAGAGCCTGTGACGCCTTTAGCGAAAGGACGGGAGATGGCTTCTAAGTTGCTGAAAAAGAAGAGTGACGCGGCAAACTTGGCATTGACCCTCCAATCGGTGCCATATGCTGAGCAGCTATGCACTGAGATGAACAACTTCTCCAAGCAATTTGAGTGTTCCAGCTGCAGCTGCATTTTATGGTGCATGTTTGTCTTGACTTAATTTTTTGACATGCATGCTCAACACATGGTTGCGCAGATGGTGACTGATCATACATCCACCTGAGGCAGTTGTACCTCAAAGTGCAGGAACTTGTTGCCCAGCAGAAGAATGAGGACATGGTCAACAGCATCTGTGATCGATGTTGGTTTATCGCTTATCTTTTGGAATTGTAATTTGTTCGCAACAATGTGTGCAAGGCTTGCAGCCATTCTTTGAATGATTCCTATTTTTTGGCTTTCATTCCCCGTGCTGGCAGGAAGTGGACTACATCCCACTTGTCCAAGACATGATTACGTTGCAGCGAGGCTTCGACAAGCCAAATGCTGCGGCAGCGGCGATTGTGTGCCAAGTGAACAAGCCGGCCTCTAAGGCCAAGGGCAAAGCCAAAGCCAAGGTGAAGGCCGCGGCTTGATCCTTTTCCAATGTGTTAGAAATTTTGGGGTGAACCCGATTTAACGATCGGGAAACACCTGCAGTGGCAGAATTGGTGCGGCTTCTTTGTCTACCTAAATTCGTGCACTCCAATTTCTTTGTTGCTGGAAGGGATCTCGTGCAGGAAGCCCGCCATATTCATGGTGCCATGGTTGCAGGTGACATGAGACGTCAGACTGGGCGTGCGAGCAAAGGGAAGAAAAGATATATCATGTCGTGTGATGAGCATGCGGTGCACGTGAGGATCAGCCTGCACGTGCTAATGAATTGGTTTCTTTTTAGCTTACCGTGACCTCTTTCAGACGCAGGTCAAATGCAGCCGAGAAAGAGCCCACTCGAAAATACCGAAAAAAAATGCGCCTCGTTGGCCATGCTGTATTCACATGTGACTGTTTGCATTGGAATGTGGAAATCGGAAACCTCTGGGGGGGGCGAAATGCACTAAGTTGATACACCAAGGGATGTGGACGAAATGGACAGCCATGGGGCCCGTACATTGGCAGAACAAATCCCAACTGGGAAAATGTCAGTCGCTGCAGCTGCTGAGTGCAGTGATGCTTTTATCAACGATGGTGCCAGCAAGGCTGCGACACATGTGCCATGCATCTTACATTCTGTTTCTTCAGGGCCTTGGATTGCAATAATGTGTTTGTTGCGTTACAGATTTTTTTGCATGTACCAACCCAGCCCTGCAGGTGAGTTTGCAACAAATGCGGAAGTGCACCCAATACTTTTTCAGATGGATGAGGCTTCCCATCACAATTTCTCATTTAAAGGTGCCTTTGCTTTTGGATGCCAGGCGATCTGACCAGCCTCACAACAACCGCCAGGAAAGCCTGGAATCAAAATCCTTTGTGTTGCCAAGCGATCTGTTGTGTGCCCTCCATGAAGCTGGCCTTCAGGCACTTCCGGGATCAAATTTCTAGGTATGTTCTTTGACGGGTACAGCAAATATCCTTTAATTGTTGAAATTCTTGCGTCATATAGCCATACACTGCAGGCCCAAAATTGAAGTTGTATACGCGCACAAGATGGAATGATCAGAAACCATATGCGGTTTGAAAGCGTAGCCCGCGGTGTGCACAGGCATTGTCAGAATGCTTGGGGTCTCGAGATGATTGGGCAGAGTTGTGGCGTGCCAGCGGGCGTGGTGAGATGGCTAATACCCATGTCCCTATCATCGTGCATGAAGATGCTGTTCCGCATTCTCTGGTGCTCTGGCTTGTATAGCACACACACAAACACAGACAAACGCTTGGGACATGTTGTCCTGTCATGCTTTCTTCCATGCATCCCAACATTGTCTTTCGAGGATCTACCGCAACAATCTGGAGTTGGTCTACTGGTTGTGTTCGGGGTGACTCATGGAAGACCCGGCAGTGCTTAGCTGTGTTGGCAACGCCCCAGGTCACTGCCAACACACGAGAAGCTATTTGCAAGCTTTTGGCATGGGACTTTCGACAATTGAAACTTGGTGTTTGGGATGTTGTGGACAGCTCTGGCAAATTTCATCCTACGGATTCCAAACGGGAAAGAAACGCTGGGCATGACATGCCTTTGAAAGCAGTACCTGGTCCATCAGATATTGGCAAAACATGTGTCGGATTTGTTTTGAAGTTTTTCTGTGGTCTGAACCTGTTTTTCACCTCTTGATTGGGGCATGGCAATTGCAGTTCCAAGGCATTTTGCTATTGGAACGGTGACATGGAGGCCCACTATTTTGCTCATTGCTTGACGCGATATTGCAAATACAATCAGTGCTGTGATTTTTGCTGGGGGTCCACCGCCAAAAACAATGCTGTTTTGAGCATTGGTCATTTGACGCTGAAAGCGCCATGGAGGTCTACAATTTCAACCCGGACCCAGGCTGATCCATCACATTAGTCAGTTGCACCTGGATTTGCAAAAAGCCGCAGATTGTTTGACCTGCTGCACCTGGTCCATCTTGGGACGCTACGAGACATCATACCATCATGTCTCATAGATTCTTTAGATGATGGAGCACTAGCTGCATTTTATGGAATGCAGGGCTGCTCTGATGACATGATTCTATATCGGATGAGTCAACACGCTCATGTCTGGGCGCGGGAGACAAATTTAGATTTATATGTGGGAACTTTAACTGGGCCGCAAGCAGGATCAGAGCCACACCTGGCCATACCCAGAGCTGGATTCCCGCATCAAGGCGGCACGGTGTCGAACATTGTTTGCCTTAGTGACATGGTTGATGTGCAGGCTAGCTATGTACCCCTTGTCACCTGAGCAGAAGTTGAATGCACGTGTACGCGCTGTGTGCTGTTGGGCATTGG